TAAGTAAAATAGTGGAAGAGAGGATGAAAAGGTCAAATTCCCAAGGAGATTTTGTGGGCAAAATGGTTGAAGACATGAGGAGAGAGACATTCATGACAAAGGAATTTGCAAGTCATGTTCTTTTTGGAATCCTCCTTGCTAGCTTCGAGACTATTTCTTCCACTATTGCCTTAGCCGTCAAGTATTTATCTCACCATCCTTATTTCCTACAACAACTTACGGTATGTGTATATATATATATAATGACGGATACAGAAATTTAAGTATAAGGTTTAAAATTTTATTTTTTTTAAATAGTAGGTATGCAAAAAAAATTCTTTTTCTCTTAACATATTAAACTAAATTTAACCATTTTCTTAAAATAATAAGAATACACTTACCCTACGGGTTTAGTGTATCTACCCCTGCGTACGTAATTAACATATATTAAATGGATAGTTGATTAAAATTTCCTATCTTTTTTCTTTCCATCTAGAAACAGATGCAGTCCGCAGTGGTAATGGAATCTCATTTAAAATTAAGTTTTAATTGACACCCAACATTGAATTTGATTCTTAGATTTTTTTTCATCTTTTTCTAAAAAAGTTAGTCTTAATTCGATTGACCTTATTGTTACAATATGTAACGCGATGTGAATTCGAACACACATTATCATATACTTTATAGATGAAATCGAATTAAGACTCAAATTTTAATAATATAACTTTATTATTTTTGTTTTTATATACTTAATTTTAATTACTTTCATAGGATGTTTTAATAATTAAATTTTTTAGTTTACTCAACATGTAACATCAAACTCAAATTATAATAGTATAGGTAGGGGATGACTATTCAAATAAATCGAGTCGAATATAAAATTTCAAGCTAGTGAATATGATGATTCATATTATAATAATTTATCTCAATTTATTTTTTAATCGAATCGAGTGAAATGAATTTCGAGCCAAATTAAATCAAATGAATTTGTTAAAGTTATATTATAAAATAGATCAAATTAAAATCTTATCAATAATACGATTAAATTCCAAATTACAATACATAAATTTAAGACAATATATATTTAAAATTTATTTTAAAATGAAAAAATAAAATATTTTGAATTTAATAATTTAATTTTTATGGCCTCAAATTTATTAACTCAAAATTTAAAATTATTTTAAAGTCAGATCTAGATTTATTCATCTTAATATAGATAATATATTTTTTAAAAATTAATTAGTGGTAAATAGGGGTGTTGAAGTTCAGTTAAAATTGATTTAACCGATCGAACCGAAGTTTTTTTTGTTAATCATTCGGTTAATTTTAGTTTCGATCCGTTAATGGTTAATGATTTTTTCAAACTTTAGTTATCGATTAATTCAGTTTGAAATCGGTCGGTTAACTGAATTAACAGAAATTATTAAAAAATTAATATTATATATTATTTATATATTAAAGTGGTTAAACTTTGGTTTTAACCAAATTAACTGAATTAGCTTAAAATATAAAATATTTAATATATAATATATATTAATTATAAATTTTGGTTAATTCGGTTAACCGACCGATTAACCGAACTTTATCCGGTTCAATTAATTATTTTTAAAAAATTTGATTCAATTAGCGGTTAAAAGAAGAAGAAAATTTGATTAATCAAATTTTAGAAGTTCAGTTCGATCGATTAGTCGAACCGACCGATTGAACACCCCTAATGATAAAACTATACTCGATTTTATTTATCATTTAAAAAATTTTGAGCAGGAGGAGCACGAGGAGATTCTTAATAAGAGAAGAAGCGGCAATCCTGGAGCTGCAGATAGACTCGTATGGGAAGATTACATATCCATGAATTTTACTCACAACGTTAGTCTCACCTCTTTTCTTTTCTTTCACTGTCCATATGTCCCTTATTTAATTTTAATTTCTTTTCCCTTCATTTAAGTTTTGTCATGTTTAATTCATGCAATTTTGGTCATGAAAGGTCATCAACGAGTCGCTGAGGCTAGCAAATGTTGCTCCTGGGATCTTAAGAAGGGTTATAAAAGACATTCATGTTAATGGTAAGTATCTTCCAACACACACATTGTTCACTGAAATCATTAAAATATTAAAATTTTGGCTTTTATTAATTTGCAGGATACACAATACCAAGAGGTTGGGCTATTATGGTTGTGCCTGCAGCCCAGCAGCTTAATCCCAACACTTTTGAAAATCCTCTTACCTTCAACCCTTCAAGATGGAAGGTATGCTTTTTTTTTTTTGAAATAGTGATAAAATTAACCCTATTGTCTACTTAAATGATTATTTTAGTTTTACATAATGCAATAAAATAACTTTAATATTTGACAATATTGTTAAATTTGTCCGTATTATCTTTTTTGGAATATTTTATCACTTAACGTTTATTTTTGGATCAAAAACAACTAACAATGGATGAGAATCGTTAGTCAATTGACGATTTACGTCTGATGCTGACAAAGCATACACGCGTGGAGAGAATGGGTGACGTGAATGTTTTAGTCATGATGATTGATGATGTGATACTGTCACCTTAGATTTTTTTTAAAAATAAAAAAAAATTATTTACATTTAATTAATTTTTACCAACCAGAGAATAGGATTCATTTTGCCACCAAACCAAACTGCTTACTTGATTACTTAATGAAGAAACATATTTAAGAGATACGTATTTGGTTAAACTTCCTGTTGGCGCTAAGAGCTTTGTTAATCATCCATAGTGGATTCCTAAAGGGGTTTACTTGAATGGACGTGTCATTGAAACTCTAGTATATATTATATATTAGATTTCCCAATCATCCAACACCCTCGAATTTTCTCCACCTGTTTTCGCTTTAGTTTTCTTCGAAGCCCCTGATTTTTCCTTTCATAGGAATGATTAGAACCCTGTTTGTTTCCCAAGAAAATTTAACGGGAAAAAACTAAACTTTTATTTCGTTTTCTTCTAAGCTATGGCTTCCCAAAAACCCCCGAAGAACCCCAGAAGAAATTGAAGACGAAATCCTAAAGTGCGTCCTTCTGGGTCTTCGAATTCCCCTTTGTTTCCATTACTCTTTGCTGAAGTTTCGAATGGAGTTATGCTCGATGGATTTGGGGCAATGATTTTGGTAGTGTGGTGGATTCCCCACCTGGGTTTTTCGAAGAGTTCTTCAAGGATTCGGATTTCGATACTCTAGACCCGATCTAAAAAGGGTTGTATGAGGATTTAAGAGGGAGTGTTTTGAAAGTTTTGGAGAATTTTCAGCAACCTTTGAGAGCTTTATCGTATTTGGTTAAACTCCCTGTTGGTGCTAAGAGCTTGGTTAATCATCCATGGTGGATTCCTAAAGGGGTTTACTTGAATGGACTTGTCATTGAAATAAATACGGTATGTTTCATCAAGTAATTAAAGAAGTATCTTGGTCAGGTGGCAAAATAAATCTCCTCCCATGCATTTTTTCTTTTCATGACGGCAGTTAACTAACTGTTTTTATCTTACATTAATTGTTTTATCCAAAACTAAACGTTGAGTAGTCAATTATTTCAAAAAAATAATACAGTCAAATGTAACAGTATTATCAAATGTTAGAATTATTTTATTATATTATGTATTTTAGTTTCTATCTATTTAAAGTGTTTTAGCTCGACGTTTATATATTAACTAATGGTCAACATATTTTGCTAATAAGATATTTTCATATATATTTAATTAGTGATATATCATATGTAATATTATTATTTTAAACAATTTAATATATATTAGGTTATCATTTTGAATTATATGATATATATCACGTCACTAATTAAATATATAAAAATATTATGTCAACAATATATGTTGATAGTTAATTAAATAACGGTTATGATCCAAATATAAATTATTTTGACAAAAAAATTAAAACGTTAAAAATTCAAATGCTTAAAAAAAGCCAAAGCGAATATTTGTACACGTTTGGAGTTAATTTTGTCATTATATTTTTATTTTTACTTGTTTAACTATGTTAATCTACACCAAAGTTCCTTATTCATGACAAGTTGATTAACTTGTACCTTTCTTAAGAACACCGGAAGCAATGCCAAGGCCAAGAATTTAATGGCATTTGGAGGAGGCGGCAGGACGTGTGCAGGAGCAGAGTTCAGCAAGGTCCTGATGGCTGTATTCTTACATGTCCTGGTCACCAAATACAGGTAATTTTATACCAATATATATGTATGTACCTATTAATTCATTTGCTATGCAAGTATTAGCCTGAAGCTGACAACGAAACAAAATGAAAATTTGGCTTAGGTGGACAAACATCAAGGGAGGAGACGTGGTTCGTGCACCCACTCTGGGATTTTCCGATGGTTTCTACGTCAGTGTTTCACCAAAACATGCATCAAACATCGAAGAATAAGGAGCAAGTTCGGCACTCTCGACTCGAGTCACTCGATGATTATCTTAGCAATAATCCCATTATTATAGACTTATCAAGTGTTGGTGATTCTCACCATGTAATAATCATTCGCTATAAATGCACCATGTGAGCGGATTGGCTGGCTAGTAATACTGATTTAAATACCTGCTTTTTCTTGATGGAAAGGAACTTGGTATCCCCTCTGCTCTGCAGATCATTGGTCTTACATTAATTGTCCCTTGAGACAGATGCAGAAGCATCAACTTAAGTGTTTCTGCCATTGTTTTAACAGTTGATGGTTAAATAACCTCAATGCCTGGGGATTGCAAATCATAGATGGTTGATACCAGCTTGTTTAGCTGATGACATAACAGCTTTCAATTGAATTCCGCTCGTTTACTTTTTTCCAGCTTTTGAGGTCATCCACTCGGTTCGACTCTGTCCTCACTAACTTAAATAGAGTTGAAAAGCAAATGACATTGAACTTTTAACACGGTTGCATTTGTCACCCATGCGACAATACCACCATTACTTCATCCGGGATGTCTGCCTCTTTGGCGCATATAAATACATGTAGCGTGAAAAGATCGACGGAAAGCATAGATGTAACTGTTTGGTTCTGAAATGGGGAGGGACAAGAGGATAGCGATCATAGGCGCTGGAATTAGCGGCCTATTGGCGTGTAAATATGCTCTAGGAAAAGGTTTTAGTCCCATCGTGTTTGAAGCAAGGAGTGGCCTTGGCGGGGTTTGGTCACAAACAATAGAGTCTACTAAGCTACAAACGCCCAAAGATTTCTACCAGTTCTCTGATTTCTCATGGCCCCCTGCAGTGCAAGGGACTTACCCTGATCACACTGACGTGCTCGAATACCTCCAAGCTTACGCTGTTCGCTTTGACATCCTTCCTAGGATCAAGTTCAACTCCAAGGTAACCTCCATCGATTACGTCACATCCTCTGCTGCAGATTTGTTTTCTTGGAACTTGTGGGGTGGTTCCGGAGAGCCATTTTCTCCATCCGGTAAATGGCATCTAACTGTACGAAATGCCCGGAATCCATCTGCTTCTGCTGCAACAGATCAGGTAGCCAGTTACCAGTACTTCCTCATAACCCCACCTTTTTTTCCTATTTCCTTTTTCAACTGATTTGGTGCATTCATAAACCTCTACTCGTTTACGTTATCCATAAGCTGAATGATTTGGTGCATTGTATAGATTAATTAATAACTGATGACAAGCAGGTGTACCAAGTGGATTTTGTGATTCTTTGCATAGGAAGATACAGTGACTTGCCGAACATTCCTGATTTTCCATTGAACAAAGGACCGGAAGTACTCGACGGAAAGGTGTTGCATTCCATGGAGTATGCTGCAATGGATGACGATGTTGCCACCGAATTGATCAAAGAAAAGCGAGTGACGGTCATTGGATTTCAGAAATCAGCAGTGGATATAGCAGCAGAAGTTGCTACTAAAAATGGTGCAAGCTTTCGCTTCTTCTCTAGTTATCCTCTCTTCTGTAAATAAATCTTATTTGCGACATCTGACATGATTCTGGGGTTATCAAAAAGGAGCAAGTCACCCTTGTACGCTGCTGTTCAAGACCGCCCACTGGACCGTTCCCGAACATTTACTCTCATTTGTGTTTCGAGGTTTGAACCGCTTCACCGAGTTAATGGTTCACAAGCCAGGTGAAGGTCTCTTCATCTGGCTCCTAGCCGTGTTTCTTTCACCTCTGGTAAGTTTTCCCCGCATTCCTAAAAAAAATTTTAGGCAATCATGCAACTGATGCACTTACTGTGTTAACGTGATAACGTGATATTCTTTCCAGCTCTGGATATTTTCGACATCAACGGAGTGCTACCTCCAGTGTGTTTATCCATTAAGGAAATACAACATGGTACCGGCCCATAAATTCCTCAAACAAATTTCTTCATGCAAGTTCACAGTTCTGCCAGCCAATTTCTATGACAGAGTAAAAGATGGTAGCCTTTACCTGAAGAGATCGCAAAGCTTCAGCTTCTGTAAAAATGGTTTAATGGTACAAGGAGAGACTAGGCCTCTGCAGTCCGATATCGTAATTTTCGCTACTGGATACAAGAGTGAAGAGAAGTTTAAGAACATTTTCAGATCAAATTTCTTCCGCAAATGCATTTCTGGGTCATCGGCCCCTTTCTACAGGTTGGTTTGCCCAAGGCGACCTACACCATATGTTGTCTCTAATAAATACATTGTAATTTTAACATTGCAGGGAATGCATTCATCCTCGAATTCCACAGCTAGCAATACTTGGATATGTGGATAGTCCTTCGATTTTGTATTCCACTGAAATGAGAAGCAAGTGGTTAGCGAGTTTCCTTGCCGGAAAATTCAGGTTACCGACGATAAGCAAGATGGAAGAGGATGTTATGGAGTGGGATAAATGCAAGACAAGTGATGCGAAAGAGAGCCATGGAAAGTCTTGCGTGAGTACATTACTCCAAATATACTTTAATGATCAACTATGCAAAGACATGGGATGCAATTCTAGAAGGAAAAGCGGGTTTCTTGCAGAGCTTTTTGAAGCTTATTGTCCTCACGACTATAAAGCCGTATCTTAACTTTCTTTTGTTTCTACAATGGTTAATCGCAATGGATCAACCTTCGGTTATCCATATCAAACCTCGTGTATTGCACTAAATATATTTGAAATCATCTTATTAACTGTTTGACAAAACTTGGTAGCTTGATCTCTTGCAAATCAACCGTATGGGTACATCTTAATGCAAAACTGTTTCAATCCCTCACATACGCCCATTTCAATCCTCTGGTGTCTTGTAAACTAAATTACAAAATTAACTATTCTTCACTACACCTGGATTGACATTACAATATAGTTTCTAACAATGCTGCATGCATCACTAGGGTAGTGAGAAACACACCATTTGTTAAAACTGACTGCTACGAGTTCAATTAGACCTTCTCCACTTTCCTCATCACACCATTACTCACAGTGGTTCACCGGCTCTTTGAGGTGATCATATCAAATCTGATTTCTTCAATTTGCTCAAGGTACAATTACATATTTCAGTAGACCGGAGCAAGCAGGCCAAATGCAATGGTCAATAAGTCTCGAATTTACATAACAAAGTTAGTCCTTTTTAAGCTAATTCAAGCTTCAGTTCTACATAGATAATGGAAGGAGCATGCGTCTCTTCTTTTTCCTAGCCAATCTCACTTGCATTGTGATTTTCATGCAGAGAAGGAATAGCATTGTGATGCATAATAGAATAAAGGCAAGTTGCATATGCCTAAAGTATAAAGAAACGGCTGAGAAAACCAGGAAAGCTAAAATAACAAGTTCCCATATAACAAAGACAACAACATCCACCTTGCATCAGCAAAACAGTACACAAAGTTCAATGTTTAGACATGCCTTATTCTGAGACAGAGAAGAACAAATAGTCAAAAGATAACCAAAGGAATGGATGCTAATAAAACAACAAATATTCTAGAAATTAAGTTATTTACTTTATTTTTTCCAAACAAAAGATCGACAATTCCTGCCTCATACAATTTATTAACGTAAATTATAAACATGTCAAAACTTGTTGGAACTAGGATAAAGCACAAACATATTAGCCATGAATTTTTTCTGGCATAAGTAACACAAAAATCTTAATGCATGCATGTTGCAAAGAATTGGTTCATCAAGGCCAACTGACTAATATTTTCAACCCAGTACAACATCACTCCTTAATGTGAGCTAGCATTTGAATAGAAAGGGACACCTACCCTAAGCCCCCAGGCCCAACATTTGAGCAAAATCCAAACAATTCTATAATGCACCACATGGACAGCATTCTGCTCTTATAGATATTTCGTAACTGCCATAAAAAACCCAAAGATACAATGGTACTCAGTAATCACAGCTGAGTTAATGGCAAGATTCAAGTATACACATGCACTCCTACAATCATGCAGTTAGTTCCCTCGCCAATGACACAATTATAAAAATATAGAAATACAGGTAGAAAAGCAGGGGTTAGCAAGATAATAGTAGTACTACAACGTGCAAATATAAACATCATTAACCAAAAGGTATATTCATCCAAAAAAGCCACAATCATCTACACAAAAAACTGCCACGAACCAACTACACGAAACAACTTGGACCCCAGCAGCAGGCTTCTTTCAGCCACCTAAATTTCAGTTTCCTACAAAAATTAAGATGAACCAACAGTTTGAAGTTTAAACATCCGTTCTGTTTGCTCTTCTGGGGCTTAAAGCACAACATTAGAACTGAATAACAGTTTGTAAGAAAATCCGGTCCTAATTTCAGCTTCATTTGATCACCTAAAATTTCAGTAAATCCAAAGGGATAGGTTGATAACTGAGGAACTCTTTGAAGGGGACCCTAGACCCTAAATGCATATTGAGGGGGGCAATTTAAAAATGCGAAAGAAAACCATAACCATAAGCTCCTGCTGAATTTTTAACCTAAATATGTTATAAAAACGAGCTTATTCATGAACATAAACGAACCGAACATACTTTTGTTCATGCTCATTCGTTTATTAAATGAACATAAAAATGTTGTTCATGCTCGTTTATTTAGCTTAATAAACAAACATTATACGAACGATTCACGAAAAGTTCATCGAATGCTCTGTTCATTTACACCCCTATAGATCACCCTTCCAAGTTCCAACCCAAACAATCCAGTTTTGAAGGCCTTATATTGAGTCGAATATTAAGTTAGATAGAATTATTTAAAACTAAAAATTGATCGAATGGCATGTGAAAAGTAATATTTTTAGAATCCATGTTAAGAAGTCTAACCCTACTTGAATTCATCAAGTAACATTAATGATTAAATGAAATGATATTCTTTCTCAAAGTCTTATGTTTAAACAATTTTAATAATAATTTTAAAAAAATTATAAACAAATTTTTTATGATGATCATCTTAAATTATTAAAAAAAAACTCTACTCACTTATGACCATCCCTAATTCAAACTCTATAATTAGGGCACTTTTTATTCGCTAATATTAATTTCGGAAACGAGAAGGAATAACATTACATGGTAAAAATAAAAATTCCCCCCCAATTATTGCATCTTACATGGGACTTGTAAGTTGCAATATAACAAGATAAGGTTGTCTTGTGAGACTGTTACCAACTGGTGAAGGCATTTCCAAAACCCTGTTCTGCCCTCCGCAAAGTAACAACATTTTTCTCTTACAAATGAAGAATCTGATTGTAGCTGCTACTCTTAGTCCGATAGGTTCAGTGGTGGATCCATAATTTTTTTTTGAGGATAAATACACATGTATTAATAACATAAATTTTTCATATGAAATAAATACAAATAAAATTTTAAGATGTGCATCCTAAGTAAAATAAACTACTAACGTAAGGATATTTGGATTTCAGCGTGGCAGCCCACCCTGGCGAAAGCCTACATCCACTACTGGATAGGCTTATCGAAAGAGAAGGAAATGTTGGGTGCGCTCAGTGCTGCAAGTTTAACTCTTGGTCCGGGTAGTGCGCCAGCACCTTTCACCGCAAAATGCGGCAATGATGGCGCGGCCAATGCCTTAGCGTTTCCCAGCGGCGGCAGCAGCAGCAGCAACCGCGCCCGGTTGTTGGTTAAGATTGTTGGTTAAGAGCTCCTTCACCTCAACTTCCAGGACCGCACCATCCTTTAGGACAGCCGTTGCTGTAGTGGACTCCGACCAGCTCAGTCCGGAGAAGGTAATCATCTATCTATTGTTTTCTTCTCCACCGTCTATCAAATATCAAATAGTTGATGTAATTGGGTAGTACGGACCTATGATTTTATGTTAGGATGTAGAAAATATCTAAAATATATGATCACTCGAAACTTTATGGGGGACTGGTCCATCCCTGATATACTGCTATGCCTTTGTCCATTATGGAGTGTCTAGATAAAGTAACTACTACTCTGTTTGCCTTAGTAATAGAATTCATGCCAAACCAATTACCGTTCCGATCTTATGTAGCCATGCATTCTCCACTCTAGTCTAGTCAATGAGATGAGACATTGTGGTTCACAATTCATATATTCGAATTCTAATTGCCTCCGGGTATCGTTTTACCACATCGGTTTCCTAAAGCCGGTAATCTTTCATGATTAAGTGATACCGATAGCAGGAAAGGAGATAAAAATGTATTCTCTGTTAGATAGATGCTTGGTGTTAATATGAGGAGCCAGTTAATGAGCCAATCAAGCAAAATGAGTCTTGTTTGAGGCCTTGAATATGCTTTTTCTGTCGTGGTGACGAAGATCTTGGAAATCATGCTCTATTTATTAAAAGTTCTATAGTGTTGTAAAAAATAAAATAATACTAAAAGAAAAGGAGTGCCTAAAGGCAATGCTGATTTTCTGTTCAGAATGTTATTTTTAAAGAGAATTTTCTGCTCATATTCTTATACAGAAACAAGCCCAAAAGTACCATTTTGTTGTTGCGAATGCGAAGTTCATGCTGGATGAAGAGGAACACTTCAAGGAGCTCTTGTTTGAGAGGCTTCGGTACAATGGAGAACACGATAAAGAACAGGACTTCTGGCTTGTAATCGAGCCCAAGTTCTTGGATAATTTTCCTGACATTACGAAGAGATTGCGCAGGCCCGCTGTTGCTCTGGTTTCAACTAACGGCCCTTGGATTACGTAAGACTTGAACCCAAAATATTTGTTTTTGTTTTAGCTTCAGTTTTGTTCTTCTTCTTCCCATGTGCCTACTGCATAAAACCTGAATATTGAAAGACCAGTATTACAGAACTGTAATTTGCTAGGTTTCATTATATCTGCCACCTTGGTTAGGACTTATTCTAGACAGTAAACCTGGAATGGTGCAAATAAAACCTGAATATTTTAAGACTAGTATCACACAACTATAATTTGCTAGATTTCATCATACCTGCCTCCTTGGTTAGGACTTCTTCTAGGAGACAGTAAACTTAGAATGATGCAAGTACAGATATACACTTAATTCGTGTACAGTTGAATCCTTTGTGACATTGTCTGGTGATACATAACCATAATCTTGCATGCCTGATCGTATTAAAAGGGAAAAGGAAAAGAAAATATACCACGGTCAGTGGCGGAACTCAACATTATTTGCTGGCCGTGAGGGGCCATGGCCCCCACAAGTCCCTCCGTTCCGCCTCTGCCCACAGTGGTAGAGATGGTTTTAGTTTTGACCTTGAAAAAAGTGCATCTTAGTTTATGAATGGCTTGAAAACATTAATCCTCGTGGTTATAGGTGTAAAACAGATGGAATACATCTCAAATGTTCCTGAACCTTTTATCAGTATGACTTGGCCATAGTTTTAATTAGCATGGTATTAAGATATCGGTATCGTGGGCAAGCGAAGACTCTACAAGTCCCTACTGGTTTGTTGTCATACGTCATTTGTAAGTTATATCTTTTTGCTGGTAGGTTTATGAAATTGAGGTTGGACAGAGTTTTATCTGACAGCTATGAAGCTGACAGTCTTGAAGAAGCTTTAGCCTCAAACCCTACAAAGCTGGAGTTTGAGAAGCCAGAAAACTGGGTGGCACCCTACGCAAAATATGAATTTGGATGGTGGGGGCCCTTCTTGCCAAATGGACTTAAAGTTTGAAGTAGAGATTTAATGTTGTTTTTAGCTGGAATTATTTCTATAACTAATGAGAGATTAATGTTGTTATCTATTTTCTTATGATTTGGTACTTGGTAGAGACAATTCGAATTTTTTTAATTTCTCGGATTTAACAGCTACGAAGCTAATCTCCAGCATCTAGAATCCTACTTAGCTAATGAGATTAATGTTTTACTCGTTCCTGACATGATTATTTGATATACTTGTCTTAAAAAAACCCGAACCGATCATACCTTACAAAAAACCTTTTCTAAAATCCGAATCTTTAAAATAAAATTTTGACATAATTAAATTAGAGTGAAATTTATTGAATTGATATGATATTATTTTCTCTAAATATTTATCGTCACACCAATTGATAATTGATTATATTTAAAAAATTTATGAATGTAAATTTTTTTTTTTTGATAGTACCGGTTTTATGGTTCTTTTTGTCCCATTACTGCATGGGGCCAAATTTTTTGACCCAATAAGTCACCTCTGAATTTATTTTGCAATATACAGTAAATGCTACATTTCAATACAAATTCATCACGTCAAGGTGGTAAGTTCGGTCAAAAAATAGTTTTTATTGATCTCAAGTCTGAGGGGCCCATATGAGCCAATACAATAATATATTTTTAGAGACGATTATATGTCAATGATTAAGGCAAAATTCGTCACATCTAGATGATAAGTTCGATGGGATTTTTGAAAAATATGGATGTTTATAATAGTTGGATTTGGGATTATAAATAAGGGTTTGAGTTTAGGATTTTTATTGTTAAACAAAAAATTGAGAAAAATTCATATTTCTTGAAGAATTCCTGAAAATGTCTATCCAAGATGAAATGTTACGTTTTGATGTTGTCTACATTTCTTCGGTCGAACTCGGTCCGGAAGAAGAATATAACATTCGTCAACGAGGAATAACACTAAGAGATCTGCATCGGTGGATTACTATATATATACAACAATCCGGGCTATATCTAGCCACATTTTTACATGACAATAAGGTGAAACATACATTAATTTCAACTCTGATTGAATGTTGGAGACTCGAGACACATACTTTCTATTTTTCAAGTGGTGAAACGACAATTACGTTGGAAGATATTGTTAATTAACTCAGTGTTCTGGTTAATTGTGCAACACTAGTGGTCACACCATGGCTTACTAGATATGGGTTTTCTAGAACTGGCAGAATGTGTTAGTAGAGCGGAAGCATCTACCAATAAAGGTTCTATCATCATCAATGTCCTGCGATTTTCTTCGTGACGAACCTCGGAAAACACCACGCCAATGGAAGGAAGAGGTTTGGTGCTGAGTATTCTGCCATGAACAGTCTCCAGACTCTTATGCAATCTGTTGAGAAACTGAAAAATTCATTTCTAGATTACTAACTTCTTGTAGAGGGCAACATCTGTCACACAAGTCCACTATTTAGTCCACCAGATTTCATATGTTGTCATAGAGTAAGAAATTTTCTTCAATCCCAGGTGACATGATATTGATTAACGGTGTTAAAAAATATCCAATTTGATTGATTAGATTCGTTTACTCAGTTAAAAAATATCATGTATTTATATAGAAAATACTCAATTTTTCAAGTTGGGTACTGGGCCCGCTAATTTTTTTTTCGATCTTTGGGTCAGGATCGGGTCATAAAATGTTGCTTAACCGGGTACCTGCTGATCCGATACCCGGTTATTATATATATATATATATATTAAATTTTTATTTCTAATTCCTAAATTATTTAATACTAACATTCTAAATTCCTAATTTCTTATATTTTGCAACCATAACATCCTAAATTCTTATTTTCTTAAATTATTTCACATTAACATTCTAAAATATTTTTTAAAATATTTATTTTAACTTCGAAACATTTGAAATTTAATTATAATTTTTTTTTAATTTTTAATATTTTTTCAATTATGTAATTTATTTTTTTAAAACATTTTGCGTAAATTATATATTATAGACCTTTAAATTTTAGAATTTTAGAATTTTTGTATATATTTTAAAAATAATATAATTTTAAAAAAATTATAATTCAAGTACCCGTAACCCGAAAATAATATAACTTTGTACCCTCTCCTAACTATAAAAAGAACAAGAAAAGTTATTATCAGATTATAATGGTCAGCGACTTACATTTAAGCGTGTAATGTGATATTAAAGACCTGTCAAAATTTTGATAATGTGAAGGTAACCTAATATACATGTGTTTCTTAGGTCAATTATAATAATTATTTGTGAATACGTTGCCTTGATTTTAAGTGTGAATATTAGCAACACTCATAATTTGCCATTTGTAAAAACTTCATTTTAAGGGTACAAATTTTTAAAATATAGTTTCCCTACAAATACAACTGTTAAAAATCTGTTAAAAATGATTACAAAACTCATAAATTTAACACCACCCATAAATTTAAATTTTTAAAGATGATTACAAGGTAATATCTGTTAAAAATCTTAATTATTAATAAAACATACACCCTACAAATACACTGTTTAAACTCAAATACTCTCTTCTACCACCGAGACCCCTCAATGAGTTTTCTTCTACTATCACCTTAAACTTTTATTTTCATAGCCCTTTTACATGTATTATTCATATTTATTATCAAGGATAATGCTCCCATACAAATGAAAAGTAATGGACAAATTAGTAATAGAATGGATCCCAACTCCTCACACAAACACATGAAAAAACAAAACAAAAAGAAAATGGAGATATTATAGGTGCAAACTAAACCAAAAGAACCAAATCCTACTATCCCAAGATCATATATTTAGAAGCTTCTCATGAATAAAACTGTCCATCGAGCAAAATGACACCCATTCGCTCGAGAGAGAAAAATGTAACCATGATATGTCCACACAAGTCAAACAATGTGTAGATAGGGTATCGAAAGAAAGATGTGACACAATGGAGAACATGCAATTGTGAAGAACAATTAACTTCATAACAGATGATAGTAAGGTGTCATTAGATAGACCAAAGTTTTTAAGGCAACAAATGCCTTTCGCACAGTCACCAGATATCCCATTTCAAAGTAATGGTAAAAAAACAAGAGGAAATTACGTGACAAAAAAGATTAGAGAAAGTCTTCGATGATCATGTATTAACCAGTGCTAACAAACTATATGCAATATAGCAATCATGAATCAAGGATCCACTGATATGCTTCTGAAAAAATAAAGAGGGCCCCCTCAATCCCATAACCATTGTCATAAACCAAAAATGTAGCAATGAACCAAAACCTACTAAACATATAACAGATGATGTGCGCATAAAAATGGTTGGTTGCTGCACACAATAGACCTGTCAACTGGAGAAATCAAGTGGGTCTTAGATTGGATATAATTTGCTTTAAAGGTTTCTCAAATCGGGTCATTAAATCATTTTGGGTTTTATCACTTCAAGTCTGGGTCATTTCCAGCTATTTGTTCAGATAATTTCAGATTTGGGACAGAATTCGGGTTGTTTCAAGTTTTTAAGCTTAGTTTAGGTTCGGATTGTTGATTATTATTGTAAAATCAAGCTGGATCAACTAACAAAGTTGTAATCCTATGGCAACAACAAAACACTCAAATTCCATGTGTTACATTGAATATCCAAAGGAATCAAACAAGTTCAACATTCATCATAACCATCTAAATTAACTTAAAAAATCCAAAAACTTACGATGAAGCAAAATTAAGAGGAAAAGGAAAAACAGGATATGATCTTAAAGTGTAATAAAGTTTACTCACTCCAAAGGAACATCAACATCACCATCATCGTTCTCCTACTGCAAATCCTTAGGATCTTTCCCATCAACCGTACAGCCAACGGAAACACAGGTGCCCAGAATCTCCTTCACCGTACCTCTCAAATCCTTAGCCATTGATCTAGGCCTCATTACCCTAGCAATCTCGATAACGTCATCGAGCGCGATGTTCCCGTTATGTTTGATGTTCTTGGTCTTCTTCCTATCCCTCTCCGGTTCCTTCAACGCCTTGATTACAAGAGCGGCCGCCGACGGAACCACTGTGACTTTGGCCTGGCGGTTCTGGACGGTAAGCTTGACGGTTACACGTAGTCCCTTCCAGTCCTTGGCGGTTTCTTTGGCGATATCTTCTCCGATCTTCTTGGGAGAGAGACCGAGAGGACCAATCTTAGGAGCGAGGGAACTAGCTGCTCCGACTTCGCCGCCGGTAACGCGGACGAACACGTCGACGACTTGCGTGGGATCAAACTTGGGCGGCATTTTGGGAGAAGAAATATGGCGGCGAGAGTTTTCAAAAAGTGTACACAGAAGAGAGAAAATAGCTAGGGTTTTCCCAGCTTAATATTTAACCTTAGGAAACATGAGAAACGGATGGATGCTTGTGTAATTTACTAATTTGAGAGACTACAATGGATTGGGTTCAAAAATTGATGAGGTTTTGGTTTTTGGGTCTCTTTTTTTTTAATAAAATGGGCTTTGAGCTCAACAATTTTGGACATCAAGCACCATAACTAGGGTTTTTTTCCCGAATGGGACAAATAGTTTTAATTAATTAGCCCAATAGGGCATATAAAAGTTTATTTAGGGATAGACGTCATTTGCTACGAGTTTTAATAAAAATATTTTTCATTCAAATTTTTATATCAATGTAATAAAATTTAATAAAAATTATATTTTTTTGAAACTCATCACCTCGACGTAACGGGTATGAATAAAAATGTTTTTTATTCAAATTTTTATCCCTATGTAATAAAAATTATATTTTATTGAAACTCATCACCTAGACGTAACGAGTTTGAATAAAAAATATTATTTTATTAAAACCCGTCACCTTGATGTGATGAATTTCTTGAACACCGAAACAAATGCCGTAGATCCCAAAATATACTTTTATATGCTCTATTAGACTAATTAATAAAACAGTTTACCTCATCTAGCCAAAAAAAAACCAATAACTAATAATCCCAAAAACTAATCACAAACCAGTTAGCCTAATCAATAAAATTGGTCGGCTACAACCAATTAAGCATATCATTAGTTATAATGACAACAAAAATGTATTTAATATTTTGATTTTTATCTTTTTAGAGTATTTTATTCAAATAAAAATTTATTAGTTAACAAACCACCGTGACTACATTACCTTAAAATAGAGG